GGAATCACGGTTTACAAGAAAACATCCAGCTAACTGATTCACCTTCACCACTCTGGTTACCACCCCACTCATCTAATGCTCTTAGAATAGCTTATCATTCACACACATCTATAGAGCTTAGATTAGTTGGTAGATTAGTTTAAACCCATGTAAACTAGTCTAGTGTATTCATTCTGGGATGTGTGTGATCATCCAGAAGGTGAGGCAAGGACATGAGTAGCTTCTGGCTGGGCAAGCCATTAGTGCAAAACCTTGGAGGACATGAGTAGCTTGGAACAATGTGTTTCCTCGTGAAAAACCTCACAATCTATGCCTGGGCCAGGGGTAGATTGGGCACTAAATGTAATGGGATATTCATTTAGTGGAAAATCTATCTGAAATAGGTTGGGACTGGATGTAGGAGGATTACACCACCTCTGAACGAGGATATATCTTGTGTACCTTTTATATTCAGCACCCAACACATACTTCAGTTCTCATTCACCTTCATACTATCCCAAAGGCTTGCATATTCACTGACCAAAAACTCTCTAAAGTTTTCTGGGAACCAAAACTCCTTACCTACGCACTACAAAGAGATCTATGAAAATAGGTCTAAATCCTTCACACAAAAGTGTTCTGTCCACCCATCTCTGTTACAACAAAAAGGATCATAATCTGTGTTCCTATAAAGTGTCACACTCTTGAGGTCAAGACTTCTGCTGTATGTTTCAATATCTCCCAAAAGATATTGACACACATTCCGGTTAGAGGAAAAAGGGTTGAAAAGAAAAGATTTTTAGAAGTCTATTCCCCCCCCTCTAGACTTCTACCTCACTTGAGACCATCAAAGAGTTTCCAAGAAAAGAGATAACCATCTCAGTTCTCCCAGTCCAGATTCTAACTGAAAAACAGTCTGATGTGGCACCAAACTTAGAGATTTAGTTGTTCTTCTAGGCTGTGCTTCCATCACAAGAGCCAATGGATTGGCACCAAACTGATCTTCAGGGCAATCAATGTCATTAATAATCTGCTTCAGGTGTTGATGAAGGGTGCAAAGTTCAATCTAATCAAGGTCGAGATGTTGCCTCACTTCCTTCACAGTCTTTCTCGATTCGGGGTGTAAAGTGGACATAAATCTTATATTCAATTCCATATTGGACTTGAATACTTTGATCTTCCTCAGCTCATTTATCAACTTAACAAATCTGTTATAGGTCTCGTTCAGTGGTTCCCCAGAGGCAGCTTTGAAAGAATCATAACAATAAGTGTGCTTGCTTTGTTGGTCTTCAAGCTTATGCCTGTGCCTTGGAGCAGTTTCTCGATTTCGTCCCACATCTCCTTTGCAGTTTGCATGCTATCAATCAACACATAGATTTCGTTTGGGATAGCTTGGAGCAGGTATGTCTTTTCCATGAGATCAGCTTTCAGCCTTAGTTATTCTGCTTCGGTATGTTCTGATGGAACTTTCAGTCTCCTTTCAGGAATGATAGGAGGGTTATTCTCTTCATTTCCACGTACTGAAATCCACAACTCAGCAGGTCCTTGAAGGAGTGATTCAAGCATTGCAGCGGAGTTGTCTTTGTGTTCAAGGAAGTTTAAGAATCGATTCCTCCACGCCTGATATTCACCTCTCCTTAGAACCGGAGGGGTACTTCTGTTTCCTTGTGCAATAGCATATGACGACATAGCTGTAAAAGGGGGTTGACCGTTCGAGAGTTAAAAAAAATTCTTAGTGAAAGCCTCGAAATCCTAGATTTCGATAGTTGAGGTTCGAGATTTAGAATGTCGAGATCAGTCTATCGAGAAGTGAAATGTCGAAATTGATTTCGAAATGTTGATTCGAAAAAACGATGTCGAGATCCTATTTTCGAGATCTCAAATGTCGAGATCTTGATTAGAAAACAAGATATCGAAAACCTGTTTATCGAAATTAAGATTTCGAGAAGTCAAATTTTGAGGTCTTGATCTCGAGAAGCTGATGTCGAAAATATAATTCGAGAACCTGGTATCGAAATCCTGAATATCGAAATCCTGCAAGTAAAAATTTTCGAATTTTTGGAAAAAGAAAACTGTTCTAAATAGCCCTTGATCTCGCGATTAGCCCTGTAAAGATTTCAAACCGAAATTGTTTGAGCAGACTTGTCGAAAGGATGATCTCGAGAAGCCTATATCGAAAACTTTCAAAATGAAAAGTTGCGGAAATCGAAAGATAAGATATGTTGTAAAATCGTAAGAAGATGGCGATTCTAACAATATAACTTTTACAGATTTTTTATCAACAAAGAGATTACAGAGGTAAATACAAGGATGTCAAAGAAACAAAAATAACAGAGCAGTTCTTCATCGATGAACTCTCGATCGGCTCTGATATCAATTGTTGGTCCCTATTTCAGAGATAATGATCTAACAACAATGATATAATAAACACTGTAATACAAACAAGGGATCAGATAATGATATGAAGAAGATGATCGGTGAAATCCTCTTGGATATACCGTGAACGATTACAAAATGATGAGCTCTAAGGCTGATAGTTCGAATGCAAAAGTTAATGCAAACCTAAGCCTTAAGCGCCTATTTATATGCGCAGGCAGGTTTGCGTAAAGGCTTCCAACCAAGTATATGGGCCTTACACTTTGCCTCATATCCTTTATACCCTAATAAATACAAAGTATAAATGCACAAGGTATAATAAAGGCTAAGCTATTACAAGACGTATGACAAACTTATATGTGATTTAATTCAAAGATAAAAAGAACTTGACTTTGCTACTTTCCACTTGTTGATATATTTAGTCGATCCTTGTTATGTCTGTAACTTATCCCCTCTCAAATACTCAATCGAGGAGTATATCCAATTCATCGAGGGTAGTTATTAACAACGGCCATTCATTAATAACCCTTACTATTAATCAAATATAGAACAACGCCTTATACCGATTTAATAGTAGCATTTAATCTTTCTAACTAGACTTGGACTCGGTTCGGGCCACCCGGCCCGTGACCCGGCCCGGCCCGCTGCTGTGCGGGCCCGGGAACGGCCCGGTCTGGCGGTCTGGGACCGGGTGTAGACCCGAACCGGGGGGGATGGGCGGGGCGGGCTCGGTTCCGGAAATAGTAGACCCGGCCCGGGTCCGGGTCCAACGGTCACAGTTTTTTTGGTTTTGGACTTTTGGGCCAAACTATCCATTGGGGGGTGGGCTGGGGACAACCCAAACGGCTATATAGCCGTTGGGTGGGCTGCAGGGGGGTCCGGGGGGTTTGGGGGGTTTAGATTAATAGTTAATTACTTTATTAATTTTTTTTTATTAATTGCTACATTTGACTCTAGTTTTAAAAACTAGTTAATTCTCATTATAGTTAAAGTATATTAATTTCATTGTTAGTAAAAAAAAAAGGTCGTACACAAAACTAGTTAATTCACTAGTTAATTTGATTAAAGTAAACTTTAAAATACTAATTTGCTATAACTCGAATTAATAGTTAGATTAATAGTTAATTACTTTATTACAATTTTTTACTGAATTCATAAAATTAATTAATTAATTCAAACTAAAACATACAAAAAAAAAATTGAAATCAAAAGCCCCAAACGGTTATATAGCAACTTTGGTAGTTTGGTTGTTTGAAATTTGAATCAATAGAGGCATAGAGCCGTTGGGGGTGGGGGTGGGGGTGGGTGGGGGTGGGGGTGGTGGTACAAAAAATTCTATAAATACTCTTATTTTCTAACATTTTTATACACATCTTCTCCAACATCCAATCTCTAATCTCCATTCTCCATCTTCATCTCCATCTATTGTAGAATTATTATATCTACCATTTTTAAGATGGAAAGTCAATATGCCGTTATACGGTATAATTTTGATAAGCAGAAGGACCCGAGGACCGGGATGTGGTACGCAACTTGCAAATGATGCGGGAAAAAATGTAGCATGGGGGTTTCAGGCGGATACGGGATGACAATGAAGCATATTAAGTCATGTGACAAAGTCAAAGGATCGGGAGGTGCGGGAAGTTCCGACTGATTACAATTTACAAAATGTATTTCATATTGTATGTTTCTCTTAATTTTCAAATGTAGTTCCTATTTCATTTCAAATAAATGCACTTGAAGTTTGTTTTTAATACTTGTATAAAACTATACAGTACAAATTATAAAAAAAAATTAGTTTTAACCGGCCCGGCGGGTGGCCCGAACCCGTGACCCGGGTGGGTGGCCCGGCCCGAACCGGACCCGTCCAAACCTCGGGCTGGTTCCGGGTCCATGAGTTGCAAACTGGCGGTCCTACCGGGCCTAGGCCCGGCTCGGGCCCGACCCGGCCCGAGTCCATGCATATTTCTAACTCATTGATGAAATCAATTGAGATTGATAACCTCAACACAACGGTTTTGGTTTAACCATCAAAATTAATCCCTCTTAAGTTTATTAACCACGACCGTGCATTAATAAATCGAAGTTACTTACTTGTGAAATCATCAACGATTAATCATCGGTTCATTGATCGTTTCTAGTAATAATTAATGTCAAGATGTTGACTAATTGTCATCTTAGCAACACTCACCAACATTAATATAGAAATAGATTAAGGGAATAATTAATATTCAAGGAGAAAAGTTAAAAAAATAACTCACAACTTTAATAATCAACAAGCTTCAAGAGCAAAACCAAGAAATGGAAGTTTAGCTCCTCATTTGGAGACTAAACATTACTAGAAAAATATAAAGAAATGTTATTCTAAACTAAGCGTAAGAGTATATGTGAATTGGTGTATTTAATGTGAAGGGAAATGGATATATTTATAGCAAAATAGAGGTGGAAGGGTGTTGTACATAGGCATACTCGGTCGAGTATTGTCAATACTCGATCGAGTATGAGACATGATTATCATCAAATATTCAGCCACATTCTTTTGCTCCCATATTTGATTTTGACCAACGTATTCGGTCAATACTCGACCGAGTATTGGCAATACTCGACCAAGTACATGAACGAATTTCAAAATTTTCATTTGATATTCTCCCTTTTGCACATTCTTTGGTCTTTAAGATCCATTCTTTGATTCTTGGGATAATTTTGACCTGTCTTAAGCTCAAAATAATCCTAATTTAAATAAATTACAAATAATATAACAAACTAAAGTATTACACCAAAAGTGTGTAATTTCCAACGTATCAAACAACAAAACTAACTAAAAACATATAAATACACACACGGAAATTACAAAGGTATTAGCGACCAGCAGCAACACTATGGTGGAAGGTGGCAGTAGCAAGCTGGCAGTAGGTTTGTAGGCGTATTTTTTTCAAACACTCATAATTAGTTCCATTTAGGGAATTTAAAACAATATGTCCTATTTATGGATTCATGTTCTACTTCTATTTGAGGAATTCACTAGAATTGAAATCAATATCAAACCGTATATCTCACTGTTACTATTTCTCAGTGAACGGTTATTTTAGGCATACACATGGAGGATGGCATAAACTGGTCATTGAGATCCAAAAGTTGGACCAAATCCACTCCACAGTCCACACGCAAAAAAGCAGCTTAGGTGTTAAATCTCAACCGGAACACCATGATTCTGTGCAGTCTCCCACTTTGACGCGTAAGCTGAAGTTGAAGCTTCTTCATCAGTAAGGTCAGGAACAATGGGGTCCACTTCTGCATATTCTGTATAAACTTGTTCTTGAACATGAAAAAGTTTCTCCGAGAGTTTCATCGTGAGATCTTCCCTTAAACCAGCATTATCTGCTAAGTATGTTTTAATAGCATCTTTACCGCGGAAACTTTGGTCATTCATGGTGTAAAATGCACCTCCTGTCTTTGTAATGAATTTGTGCTTCAATCCTAACTCTATAAGCTCAGATTCGCGACATATGCCTTTCCCAAACTCAAGCTGAAATTCTGCAGTTCTAAATGGAGGGGCAAGTTTGTTCTTTACGATTTTCACTATGACTTGGTTTCCTATAATCTGTAAAACAGAAAGAATTTGTAGACAAATTTCACAAGAATTACTATGGGAAATCAACATGTTGAAACATGTAGAAGTAAAATTCAGTTACAAATTTACACCATCCATCAATATGTACCTCTTCCCCTTTCTTGACCTGTCCAACTCTCCTGACATTTAAACGCACAGAAGCATAAAACTTCAATGCATTTCCACCACAAGTAACCTCTTGAGGTCCTCCAAATCCTCCATAAGTAGATAGTTTAGCTCTCACCTGAAATAAGATGGAACCTGTCAAAATTACACTTCTAGTAAAAACAAAAACAAAAACCTTTTGTGAACTGTGGAACATACTTCCCTAAATGCAATTTGCAGATCCTCTTGAAATTTACTACAACGAATTCATTTTATTGACCAGTCTAAATACCATACAAGACTTGTTCAACATTACAATGTTAGATAGGGATTTCTGGATTAGCATTGTTAAATATTATGCACACTTTATGAGCTATAGACCGTAGGGAAAAGGAATAGAGACTTATTGCATTGTTAATATATCATATGACATGAGAAGAAGAACGCTTATACACCTGATTTATAAAGATCAAAGTAGTCTGTGATAAAGATAAAGAATGGCTCAACTTGCGGAGTGCTTGACTCATTAGTCTAGCCTGCATTGCCATGTGTGCATCCCCCATTTCACCCTCAAGTTCACCTTTTGGGACAAGAGCTGCAACCTACTAGTAGAAAGCTCATCACAAATACATATGACGGAGCTCCAATACAAATGCACCGCTATAAATTAGTTCGTGTGATCTTACACTGTCAACAACAATAACATCAGTTGAGCCACTCCTGACCAGAGTATCCACGAGACTAAGAGCTTGCTCACCACAATCTGGTTGTGAAATAAGTAAATCTTCGATTTTCACCCCAATACTTGTAGCCAATGCTGGATCTAGAGCATGCTCAGCATCCACAAAGCAGCAATAACCTTTAAAAAAAGATATAAAGCGGCTGTCACAATCTTGATATTTAGATCAAGTCCAATTTATTGCAACTTTTACCTAATAAATAAAACCAAGATAATATTCTCATTAATAGCAACCCTGTTGAATCTCCTGCCATTGTTCAACGTAACTTCTTTTCAGTTTTCACCACATACTATATCAGCTTGGTTAATTAAATGCAAGAGGAAAAAAACAGAAAAAAGTACCACTTATGTATACAGTACTGCATACTCATAACATTTTTTGAAACACCTTGTTTAGTTTAACCTTTCTTTAGACTTTCACAAAAATAAATAAGAAGTGTAAACTTTCTTGTCCAGGAAATTGCTGCAACATTTGGGGTAAATGATTTCGTAGTTACCCTAGCATAGATAGTAGATACCAATAGAGTCCCCCAGTTACCGTGATATTTTAGAACCTACCACAATACCATATTGTCAGATATATTATTTCAAATCAGAAAGAACATAACATGACAGGCAGAAAAGATTTTTACTTTACTTTAATTTAGAAATCTCAAAATTTCTGTATTACACAGCATCTGTCTCTGCTGAAGGTTATTTCTCTTATTCAATTCTTACTGATAGTCTGACTATTTGGTGTGATCGTAAGAACCACAAGGCCATGTACTTTGTTTAGGAGATCATAAGAATATTCAAAGTTTGGAGACTCCCTTTCAAGGCCTCAACCAAATGCAAATATGAAGCTACCCCAAAGATTGCTTCCAGAAAGGCATGTCTAGAATCTATTCATCATATGTGCAGCATTCACAACTCACAATATCTTTCAGAGGAAAAAAAGAAGGCATGGAAGCTAATCAATTATGTATAAGATTGTAACCTCCTTGTTTTTGTGCCTCAGCAATTATATGTAAAGCAAGCGTTGTTTTCCCCGTAGCTTCTGGACCATATATCTCTATCACACGGCCCTGAAAAAAACTGAAAGTTTATACACTAGAGCACATAATATACAAGGCAACCGACACAACACAAAGATTATTTTCCGTTGTCGTCGTCATCATCATCATCATTACCCCAATGCCGGAAAGGCTCCCACACCTTTGGTGAGGTAAGGGGGAGTCAGATGTACGTAGATTTACCCCTGTACTAAAGCACAACGAGACTGTTTCCAGATAACCCAAAGTGAAATCGTGTCGAAAATCGCGTCGATTATTTTCCGTTATATCAAACAAAAAAGAGGCAACATAAATATGTTAGTTATTAAGATTGTAAGATATATAATCATTGTTTATAGCTATACAATCCTTGGGGTGTTCCGACTTCCAATTACTTATTTTAGTTGCATATTCCGATACTTAGGACGTGTTTGCTTCACTGCTAAAGTCACAGTTAGGTTAGTAAGACAGGTGAAATAAACACGCAAACTGCTTAAAAAGCTGCTTAAAGTGTCGCTTACTAAGAATATCACCCCCATGTATTAATTAAGGGGCACTTTAAACTTTTTCAGTTTCCGAATTTACCATTACCCTTACTCTTACCCTATTGTTACCCTCTACCCTTACCCCTCCCCACCTTATCCCAACCCCACCCCGTTACGCTACATAGACCATACCACCTTACCCATGCCCCTTACCCACCCCCACCACCGGTACCCCTTACCCTACCCCTTTACTCTCTACCACTTGCCCTTACCTCGACCCCACCCCGTTACCCCACCCTATCCGACCATTTCCCCTTACCCTACCCCACCCTGTCCCCCTTACCCTACCCCTTTAGCCCCTACCACCTGCCCCTACCTCGACCTCACCCCACCCCCACCCGGACCCTTTTACCTTACCCCCTACCACTTACCCTTACCTCGACCCCACTCCTACCCCTACCCTAACCCTGACCCACCCCTTTGCCCCTACCTTGACCCCGTATCCCTACATACCCCACCTAACCCCTTAACCTTACTTACCCCTACGCCCTACAGGCCCCTATACACTACCGCTACCCCCCACCTACCCCTCACCCTTCCCTTACTTGAACTCGTACCTTATCTCTACCCTTACCTTGATGACCCTAGGGTAATGGGTTAATGGGTGGGGTAGGGGTACGAGCCTACTGGTCAAGGTAGGGGATAAGGGTACGCTACGAGGTAGAGGGTAAAGGTAAAGGGGTCGGGGATACGAGTGGGGTAGGAGTTAGGGGTAGAGGGTAAGGTTGTGGTAGGGGTAAGGGAAGGGGTAGGGTGGTAGGGTGGGTATGATAAGACACTGGCAGAAATGAACACAGAACAATCACAATTCTAAGGAAAATGTAGCTAGAACAGATCACAATCAGTTTATTGATAGAGAGAGAAAGTCGGTAAAGGGGTACAGGGGTGGGACAGTTCGAGATGCCCAATCTCCAAGCTACCAGCCAATGACAAAATAACAGCCTGCCTTATTTTGTTCTCTACTTACTATTTATAGCTCATTGTCCACGCAGGGACCAACCGAACTAGCTATTATATAGTTAAGTAATAATACTACTTATTTCTCCTCTTGTACACCTTATTGAAGTATTGAATAGGCTGTTGCTGTCCCCCAAGCCTATCATTACTCCCCCCCTGAAATTTCACCTTGTCCCCAAGGTGAAGATCTGGAAACTGTTCTGTCAATGACTGCAATACTTCCCATGAATCTTCAAATGGAGGTAAGTCTTTCCAGTGGACTAGGACTTCCATCTTTCCCTCCTTGTTCACCCTTGAATCCAGCACTTCTTCTGGTTTCACCTGTAGTTCCCATTCATCACTCATACATGCTGGTAGGGGCTGAAATGCAGTGGTAGATGGTATAGCTTTCTTCAGAAGTGAGACATGAAATATTGGATGAACTTTACTGTCTGTAGGTAATTGAAGTTTAAAGGCTACCAGACTGATCTTTTCAATTATCTCAAAAGGGCCATAATATCTGGGACTTAGTTTTTGGTTGATTCTCCTGGCCAGACTCCTGAGCTTGTAAGGTTGTATTTTCAAATAGGCCATATCTCCCACTGTCAAAAACACCTCTCTCCTGTGTTTATTTGCCTGTTGTTTCATTTGATTTTGGGCTCTTTCCAAATTCTCCTTCAATTCTCTGAGCATCATGTTCCTTTGTGCAGTCATTTTGGAAACTTCTTCAACAACTGTAATACTAGCATCCCCTCTAATCACTGTAGGAGGGTCCTGGCCATATAGAGCTTTGTAGGGTGTCATTTTCAGGGATGCATGATAGTTGGTATTATACCAGAATTCTGCCCAAGCTAACCAATCAGCCCAATGTTTAGGTTTCTTGCCAGTAATGCACCTCAGGTAGGTTTCCAAGCATCTATTGACCACCTCAGTCTGTCCATCTGTTTGTGGGTGATAAGCTGTACTGTATTTGAGTTTAGTTCCAGCTAATTTGAAGAGTTCAGACCAAAAAGCACTCATAAATATGCTATCCCGGTCACTCACAATAGTTTTGGGGAACCCATGCAACTTGACTACCTCTCTGATGAAAAGTTCAGCCACTTCTTTGGCATTAAATGGATGTGATAAAGCTAGGAAGTGAGCTGACTTAGTCAGTCTGTCCACAACCACCATGATAGTATCTTTTCCATGTGATTTTGGCAGCCCTCCCACAAAATCCATGGAAATGTCAGTCCAGATATTCTGAGGAATAGGCAGGGGTTGTAACAACCCGGCTGGTTTTAAAGCTTGATATTTGTTTGTTTGACATGTAGGACATTCCTCCACAAACTTCTTTATGTCCTTTCTCATTCCATGCCAATAAAACAAATTAGATATTCTCTTCATTGTTCTAAAGTAACCCGAGTGACCACCAATAGCAGAATCATGATATTCCTTCATAATTCTGATAACTCTAGGAGATTTACTAGGTAAAATTAGTCTCCCTCTGTAATATAATAACCCCTTGATAGTCTGAAACTCTTGATGTTGATCTGGCTGTGATATGATCTGCTGGAGTATTGATTGGCATTTGAGATCTGTAAGTAACTCTTCTTCCAAACCTTCCCATTCCTGTGAAGTGACTATGGAAATAGCATTGAGAGAGGGTCTTCTGGACAAAGAATCTGCAGCTCTATTCTCCACTCCAGGTTTATACTTGATAATGAAATTGTAACCCAGTAATTTGGAAGTCCATCTTTGTTGCTCCTCCCCCAACAATCTTTGTTCTGTTAAGAATCTTAAGCTTTTCTGATCTGTATGAACTTCAAAAGTTCTCCCTAACAGGTAAGGTCTCCATTTTTGGACTGCCAAAACAATAGCCATCAACTCTCTTTCATAGACTGACCTGTTCTGGTTTCTTTTAGACAATTCCTCACTCATATATGCAATAGGCCGACCTTCCTGCATCAAAACAGCCCCCAGACCTGTACCAGAAGCATCCGTTTCTACAATGAAGACCTTATTAAAATCTGGGGTTGCCAAAACTGGTAGAGTGGTCATCCTGTTCTTTAATTCCTCAAATGCCTTTGTAGCCTCTGTCCCCCACTGGAAACTGTCTTTGTTTAGAAGCTGTGTTAAAGGTAAAGCAATCTTGCCATACCCCTTTACAAACCGTCTGTAGTAGCCAGTAAGTCCCAGAAATCCCCTCAATCCTTTCACATCCTTAGGCTGTGGCCACTGAATCATAGCCTCTATCTTGGTAGGGTCTGCAACAACTCCACTCCCAGATATTATATGACCCAAGTATACCAGTTCAGATTGCCCAAAAGAACATTTTTTTGAGTTTATAACTAATTGATTCTCCTTCAATGCAAGTAATACCTTCCTCAAATGTGTTTGATGCTCTTCCCTGGATTTACTATATATGAGAATGTCTTCAAAGAAAACCAGGGCAAATTTTCTGAGGAAAGGCCTTAAGACTTGATTCATGAGTGCTTGGAAAGTAGATGGTGCATTGGTCAAACCAAAGGGCATTACCAAGTACTCATAATGCCCTTCATGAGTTCTGAATGCAGTCTTTTGCCTATCTTCCTCCTTCATTCTTATCTGGTGATAACCAGATTTTAAGTCCAATTTGGAAAAAATCATAGCTCCACCTAACTCATCCAGCAGTTCTTCAATGATAGGTATAGGGAATTTGTCAGGTACAGTAATCTTGTTCAAAGCCCTATAGTCACCACAGAACCTCCAACCCCCATCCTTCTTCTTAGCTAATAAGATAGGGCTACTATAAGGGCTATTACTGTGCTGGATTATACCTTCATTGAGCATTTCTTTTATGATTTTCTCAATTTCAGTTTTCTGGTAATGAGGATACCTGTAGGGCCTTATGTTTGGGATCTGTGCTCCTTGCTGAATATTAATTGCATGGTCACATGATCTGCTGGGAGGAAGTGTCTTCAAAGGTGTGCAAACTTCTGGAAATTCTGCCAAAATCTGCTTCCAAGTTTCATCTATTTCTTCCCCTTTTTTAAATTCCACAGACTTGCCTTCACACAGAATCAAATACCCATCCCCTGCATCATTTAGAATCTGAGTCATGGTGTTCAAAGATACCTCCAGAGAATTCAAATGTGGATCCCCTTGTATTATTTGATTCTTCCCTTGATCCTGCCACCTGATCACCTGTTTTTTAAAATTTACTTCCACATCTCCTAAGCTGGTCAACCATTCCATCCCAAGCACCATATCAGTACCCCCGAGATCCAGGATATAAAAATCCTGCTCAATTACTGCTTCTTGTAAATCTACAGTTAATGCTTCACACCTCCCATTATTAACCAGTTTGTCACCATTGCCAATTTGTACCTTATACCCTGTAATAGTGGTGTAAGGTATCCTGAGTTTATTCACCATCCCTTGAGATATAAAGTTGTGAGTAGCTCCACTGTCAATGAGTATGTCCACTTCTTTTTCTCCCAATTCCCATTTCAAGCAACCCTTCACCTTGAAAGCTCTCATGGAAGGAATCCCTTCCTTACTCATGAGTGATAACTGCATTGATTTGGATTC